GATGAATGTATGAGGTGGAAGCCACATGCCTGACTGAAGTGCTTCCTCCAATGAATGACAAAGGTGAGACTCCAGGAAAAAAGGGAAGATACCCAATCACAGAGTCTATACGTGAACCCAGAGAGTCTGGAAAATCTCCAAAAAACAAACCGATGGAGAAAAGGAACCGCTCGGAAGTCACAAAGATAGTGGGAAAGTAGATGAACCTGTGAAAAGACAGCATCCATCTCAATAAGATGCCAACAGCAACAAAAATCATGTGTGAAGGGAAATAGCCTGAAGAGGACAATGATGCCAAGGTGAAGTAAGGAGGTAAAGTGTATCCTGCGAAAACCCCTCAAGGGGTCGGTGGAGTCCCTAAGAAAAGAGGTTATGTTTAACAAGTACTGTAGGAGAACAGTAAGGGTAAGTTGAAGGTGGGAAAATGACGGTGGAAGGAATGTATAGGATTATCAGGAACAGCCCCCCACATAAACAAAATTGAATCCAACTGCTGGGAGTTGAGAAAGGGTTGATCAGCTGGCAGATAAGCCAAAGCATAATGATCAGAAGTCCATGGAGGAAGAAGCATGCTAAAACGAACTCTCAATTGAGAAACAAAAATGCTCAGCATGAACACTGATGCCAGGAGAAGGAAGGAAAACATATAAAAATGGTGAAAATGAGAAAATGGAACAAATCTGAGAAAGCATATCCAAAAAGGCATATTTAGGCTTAGTAGATTTCATAGGAGATGCATGGGAATGGCATAGGTAGGAGGAGGAAAAAAAACTGTCAAAATCCTTTTCGTCATGAACAGGGTCAGACAATGTAGGAGGAACCCAAACACTGTCAGGAGAAAAACGATGCCTCGTAAAATGATCAATCTCCCAATGAATGATAGCCTAAAAATCTTCAGTGGAGACTCATCTTAAACAGTGAAGTTGAAAATGAGAAAAAAAAATCAATAAAAAAAGGTATGTTATCACAGCAAACTACTTCAGAAAAAACTAACTATAGCAAATGAATAAATCAAGTAAATCACTACTTCGCATAAAAAAGAAATGAACATGTGAAAAGAGCACAAGTGGAAACTGTCTGAACTCTATCACTGCCTAAGGAGAAGTGATAGTTTGGTAGAATTGAATAGAGGGAGTTACATGCATCAGGAGGGTATGTTGAACTCCTACTGGTGGAGGGCTGTCACATGATGATTTATATGCTAGACACAATTGAACCACATTGATCATGGGGTACTTGGAAGTTCAAGATTTGTGGCATGTTTTTGCATATAAATGGCTGCACTGAACGAGAGTAGCTATAAAAGTGAGAAGAGGAAATGTACAGTATCAGAATTCAGTTTTCCCATATCAATTTAAACATCTAACTGTACTTTATAATGATGATTCAAGATGATAGTTTTAGAATATTTTTCTTAACTCTCTCAACACAGGATCTGTCAAATTGACCGACCATGTGATCTCTTTGTACTCGTGTAAAGTCTTTATAGATTTTATACTTCTAACTTTCAATATAGTGTGTGTATATCTTCACAAAATTTGGTCTTTCACATATAAAAAATCATATTTTTAGTGAAGTATTTTTAATAAACTAAAATAAAGATTTGTCTGTGAAAATATGGAGTATTTGTTATGAATAGTCTGTGAGAAGAGTAATTTTCATGTTAAGATTAAAAATACTTTTCCCCATCTCAAAAACCTCTAATTTCCTTTGCATGATCTTTAAAACCTCCTAAATACACTTCAAACGTTTTTTTTTTCAGTAAAACTTGATATTTCATCTGTTATTTTCTCTACCCTAACTCAAAATGAGATTGGAATATTTGACTGACTAAGAAAAAACATCTAAATAAATCTAACTTACACACTCTTTTTTTCTTTTTAGAATGACTTCAAATTATATCATGAAACTACATTAGTTCATCTCAAGTAGCTTTAAGCTTGTAACAGTATACATCTATTTATAATTAAATTCTATTGTTTTATTGCCCTCTTTGAACAGTGTCTAACTACTATCTGTGCCATAATAAGTTGTAGATCTCTCAGGGCATGTGCAGCTCATGTTATGCTATTGAATTACATTATCTATGTGCTGCTGCATGTGTGCCTTGTGAAACATTTTTATTATATTAGCATTATTTATTTTACCTAATCTAATCTTAACTAACCTAAAAAATCCCTATTTTTACATTTTAGTTACATTTATAATAATAAATAAAGTATGAACATGAAAAACAAGAAATAAATTACTAACCCAATTTTCTTTTATCTTGCTGTTGATTGTCGATTATACTTAAGCCTACATATTTTATACCAGTGGTAGTAGTGCATTAAATAATTTTTATTTAACTAAACAATGCACCAAACAACATAGACTAATAACATGCAAAAAGCAGACAATTTCCCCTTACTCTAAAACTTTTTCTGGCTTTCTAGCTATACGAAAAGAGCCGTTACAAATTCATCCACACTAGTCGTTAACTTTCCCATGGGAATGAAGCTTGTACTCTGAATGAAATTAATGCGTATCTGTTCAGAATACGTTATACAATATGTCATTTGATAAATGAAAACCTTGACTTTCTATTTGTTATCGGTAGTATATAATTAAATGTAAAAGAGAACTATTAACAAAGCCTGAAAGAGAGGATGTGACAGGTAGGTGTGGCAGAAGGGGTGTGATTTTCTATTTATAGCTCTGTAACCAAACAAAACTGAAGGCTATAAAAATTATGGTTCGTTTGAGCAGTGATGACTCTATAGAGAGTAATTTACATTTAATTTTGTACTTTTTTAAGGGATGGTGGATCAAATAGAGAAGAAAAGATGCCTATAGAAAATATGTCACGAGTGTCACACTAGGGGAAATTCAGGATTGTTTGTATATTTTCTTATAGAATTAAGAACTTAAAACTTATATGCTATTAAAATATGGATTATTAGCAAAGTGTTTATGGCATACTAATTGGATATAACATAAGCAAAAAGTACTTTAATACAATTTTGAATGTAAGACACTAAAACTTTCTGTCATACATAGTAAAGGATACCCGGGGCATAAGGGTTAACAAATGTGATATTATAATTTAACAAAGAACAAAAGCATAATTTCATATAACTGTATATTTTGTTTACCCTGTCATTCAAGTAACACATGTACTTGTTCATCACTGTTTTATTTATTACCATATGAAAATCTGAAATAATTTTGTAATAGTATAAAAGTGAGCCACAAAATGACATCAAATTTTTAAAACAAGGAAAAACTTTGAAAAAGACCATTCTGGATTATAGCTAACTTCAGAAGGGTAATCAGAAAAGTCACACAAACCTTCAGTCCTTAACACAGTATTAAAGTTGCTAAAACATTTCATTCAAATATGACGTGGTAAGTTATAGGATAGGGTTAAATACCTTTCCAAACAGGGTAAATTTTTTATTAGTAGATAAGCAGAAAAACAATTACAACATCCTATGGAAAAAAATGGGATGTTAATCCGAACTGAGAAATAAAATATGTATATCACAGCTTTATTTCTGAATTTGTTCTATAAATTAGTTTTTCTTAAAAACCACATATTATTCTATGCATCATATAACCATCAACAAAATCTTAAATAAATTGTATTTTAAAAGCAATTTGTACAAAACTTAAAATGTAAATAACTCTGAATATATTCATTTAAAAAGTAACCACTTTAGAAAACTGTTGTTGATTTTGAACTAACGTATATAAAAAGATTTGACTAACACTGTTGGCGAAGCTCATGAATTACAGGAAATATGTCATAACAAATCTGAAGCTAGCTTCAATCCAGAAAATATTAATTTACTGTTCTCTTAAAATTTCAAGCTCATCTTGTTGAATTTAGTATATTTCTTTAGTTATTTGCTTAAGTGTTAAATGTTCTATAAATCTGGCATACACTGAAATATCTTAATGATGATAATAATAAAAATATAAACTTTAGCTACTGAATTAAACCTAAATAAACTGTGACAAACCTATTTCTCTCCAAAATTTAGAACTGATGGGTCTGTACCGAACTGTGTAGTATTCAACTAAAGAATTTGATGGTGTTTCCCATGTTAATAGCATCGTAGAGTTACTAACTTTAACAATTTGAAGTCTTTCTGGTGGTTTGGGATCTAACCAAAACATTAAATAGTAATTGATTAGTAATCAAAACTACAAAAACATCTAAAAAACATTGATACACTTTAATGATAATAATACAAATTTTACATAATTTATTGTATCAAAATAATAAAATAATTTTCAGAATTAAATAAAAAAATCAGTAGGACAGAAAACTACAAGATATGAACTTCCAATAACACACCACACTAATAGCAAAGGCTGCATTTAGGGACTTAAAGAAAGAAAATCACAAGTCAATAAATAGATAATGGTATTTATAATGTGATCATTGACAAAGAAGAATACATTACTAAGTCATAATTCTAATTAAATGTGGTCACTGCAAGAATATAAAGTTTAAACCAACAGAGAGTAAAATATTTAAAAACTCAAGAAATATCAAAAAGAACTTGGAAAAAGAGAGAGTCAATTAACTGTAAACTACAAGAACGCCCCACACATGTATAGCAAAAGTTCACAAACAAGGATATTCTCTGTCTTAAAGATAATTGCAGAGATTCATGTGTCTTGTAGAAAGATTATCATAATTACCAGATAAAACATCATATTTTAAGAACTCAGTCTACTTTGAAGAGATTATGAAAAGGATCTGTAACAATAATCTTACAAGATGCAAAGATCAGTTTATATGTATCCAACCTACTCACTTATGTACTAATATTTAAAACAAAGTTATTTGTAAAAAGCTTGGTAATGACTGAACTTTTGAGGAATGTTTAAAACAAAAAATCTCCATGATAACAGAACTCACAACCTATTGTATCAACAGAAGGTTTAGCTATGGGTCCAGCATCAGTAACCTCTGCATAAAACATTTAAAAGATAATTCCCATAAAACAGCATTTTAAACCTTAGGATTTAACTCGGATATATTGATGATATATTTGTAATATGGAAATACACTATTGAAAGATTCCAAAATTCAGAAACATTCAGCAAAACAATTCACAATAAAAATACCAAAAGATAACTTCTTGATGGTTAACAAAACACAAGATATATATTACACAAATTCAAATATACTGGAAAAGTACTTCAACTATAGATAAAACTACACAAATGGTGTAAATATGAGCATCATATACTGTGTTTATTCTCCAGAATAAACAAGATTTGTATTATAGAAGGTGCTAAGAAGAATGAAGAAAACATATTGTTGCGTCAGCGAGTCACATGACCACGTGACGCAACGTTTCTAGAATTATCATGTACTTTGGCGAATGCTCTAGTATTTACTAGTAGGTTAGGCTGGTATATATATAAGAGGGGAAAACGTGACGCGGAAAGCATGGTAATGTGTGTGTAGATAGACAGTGAGTAATTGATCTGCGGTCACAGGGTATCGTTGAATTTAACGTTCGTTCGCTCGTGATACTGTTTGTTTTAGCGCGAGTATTGAGATTAAGTGTATCGCAGAGTT